GCGTTTCACAAGCGGTAGCCCTAGATTCGATACTCTCTAGCGTAGGAGAGTATTTTGTACTCTCCTACTCTTCTATACTCTCTAGCCCCGCCGCTGCAAACGCTAGCGAAACGCTGGAAGCGCTACGCTACGCTGCCGCAAAGTATAAACGCAGCCTAATGGAAAGAGTCAGTAGCGGAACAAGTGCATCCTCGGGAAGTCTTTGAAATGAACAAAAAAAATGGGCGGTGTGCGGGTTATTGCCTTCTTCATGAGCGGAAAGCGTCTTTGTCAAGACAAACTTATCCAAAAACGACGTCCGCACATCGAGTGGGCGCGGGACCCGCCTTTGACATAGCTGTGTTTCAGATAATAGAAGGAGATAAACTGTTATGACTGTTTACTGGGTTGTAATAAGAGGTTTAGCGGATAAAAACTGGAACGCGCGACCGTTTAATCTCTAACAATATCTGAGCGCCATTATGGATGGGCTCACGTTTAATGCTCTATCCTCGCCTTTTTATATTTCTTACATTTATATCATGAATTGGTTCGTTGCGAGTTGATGTGGGTCCTGCCAGTGAGCATAGCAGCTACTGAATATTCGTGGAAATTCCGGAACAAAATTGAAACGGGTACGACCCTCGTTTCCTTTTCCAGTACAACCTCTAACCTAGCCGCCCTTCAGACCCAAAATTCCTAAAAATTTGCCATGTTCCTTGAAGAGGTGGCGGACACCTCTGGTCAGCTATCAGAAAAATCAACAATCGTATAATTCATTTCCCTGTCAAGTACGACCCTCCTCCCCTCAATGACCAAACCCGCCCCTCATTGGGGATTCCCATCGGATGATGTTTCTGAGAAAAGGGAGCTTGTGAGCTGTCGCTGGAGAGTTTGATTTAACAGTTTAATTACAATTTGTAGTGGTTTTTGAGCTCTATATCTGCTGTTTTTCAGGTGAAACTCCTCAATACGAACCAGGATAAACAAGGCGAGACCGTAGAGTTGCTGCAAAAAGAGCTAGCGGCGGCCAACAGCTCCATCATGGAACATTCAAAAGAGAAAGAAAAGTGGGTAAACTGTTGCTTATGATCGTTCATTTTCAAGATCAAGTGCTCGTTTCTAGTCTGCTTGCTGACATGGAAGCCTTAAAGAAGACGATAGCCGATGAAATGGAGTCGAAGCAAGCGGTTACCGGAGAGATATCCGAGGCCAAAAAGCAAATACATCAGCT